GGATACCACGATGTCTCAATATTGAGTCGTACGATAAAGGGCAGATTTCTTTACATCTGTTTTCGGATGCTTCAGAAAGCGGTTACGGAGCTGTAGCCTATATGAGATTACAATATGATGCAAGTATAACGAGATGTAGCTTCATCCTAGGCAAGTCTAGAATAGCACCCCTAAAATTTGTCAGTGTTCCTCGCCTTGAACTACAAGCCGCAGTACTGGCAGTGAAGTTGATGAAGCAAATATTAGAAGAAATAAAGCTAAAGTACATGACTGAAATCTACTTTTGGACGGATTCTATGATAGTATTAAATTACATATTTAATACGACGTCACGTTTCAAGACATATGTAGCTAATAGAATTAACTTTATTCACGAGCGAACTAAGCCATCTCAATGGAGGTATATACCATCATCCATCAATCCTGCTGATCTTGCTTCCAGAGGAATATGTAAGTATGACTCTAATTGTATTGAAACTTGGCTTTCAGGTCCCGAGTTCCTAACGACTGAGAAGGATAAATGGCCTGAGTATAGACGAGAAGAAATATTAAAGCTCCCAGTTGAGCTAGAGTTAAAGAACGCCACAACCTTGGACACCATGACTACAGTTTTTCCCCTTGATAAATTTATATCCCATTTTTCGTCATGGATTAAACTCAAACAAGGTACAGCTTGGCTCATCAGATCCAAACGTTACCTCTACAATAAAACGATCGTAAGGGGACCCCTTACGCTTAACGAATTGGATAATGCCGAAAGAGACCTACTAAAATACGTACAAGAGCAAGAGTTTGCGGAAATTATACAATGGATTAAACGACACAAGCAATCTGATAACATTCCGTCCAAAAATCATGTCATTAATAAGCTACGTCCAATCGTGATTGACAACCTGATTCGCGTAGGAGGACGTTTGAACCGTAGTGATCTTCCGGTAGAGCAGAAACATCCAATTATTCTACCCAGCAAACACCCTATAACGGAGCTTATCATTCGTCACTACCATCAAGCTGACGGACACATGGGGGTGTACTACACACTAGCCGCCTTGCGCAAAAAGTTTTGGATCTTAAAGGGCACTACTGCAATCAAGAGGATCATACATAAATGTATAGGCTGCCGCATTAGATCAGCCAGGCCGATGTCACAACTGATGGGAGACTTGCCACCTACGCGGATAACACCCGACTTCCCGTTCGCAACGACAGGAGTAGATTATTTCGGCCCAATCACGATTAAGGAGGGACGCAAACCTCGAAAGTGTTACGGATGCTTATTTACGTGCTTCAACACCCGAGCAGTTCACATAGAAGTTGCCTGCGCATTATCAATCGATTCCTTTCTAATGGCGTTGTCTCGCTTCTCAAATCGCAGGGGGGCGCCGAAGAAGATATATAGTGATAGAGGAACCACATTCGCTGGATTAGAGAAAGAAATACAACTTCTATTACCAGACTTTAAAGACAATAGAGTAGCTAAGGAAATGATTCGTCGAAATATCGAGTGGCACTACAACATCCCTTACGCAAGTCATCGTGGAGGTATATGGGAAAGATTAATAAGGAGCATACGTAGAATTTTGAGTGCTGTATCTGGCGAGCAAACTATGACCTACGAGACACTCACCACTTATTTGACTGAAGTAGAAAGAATACTTAACGATAGACCTTTAGTTCCAGTTTACGACGACCCAGAACAACTTGAGACATTGTCACCTAATAATCTACTTTTGTTAAGAAAACCTAGCCTTCATCAGATTGAAATAAGCCTACGTGAGCGTTATTCCCGACAATGGCGACAAGCGCAGCTGTTGGCAACTACATTTTGGCGTCGTTGGATAAAGGAGTACTTACCACTTTTACAGACTCGAGCAAAGTGGACACAAGGGAGACGAGATCTACGAGTTGGTGATCTAGTCTTGATTATTGGAGACACCTACACACGAAATAACTGGCCTAAAGGTCTAGTGGTAAGTATCAACCCAGGAGAAGATGGGCTAGTGAGACAAGCGAAAATCAGAACGTCGAGAGGCATAATTATTAGAGATATACGTAAAATTTGTTTATTAGAAGGAGCGGATAACTGAACAGTAGAGGATAGATAGACGCTTCAGAGTGACTGTGGCTAGAGTAAATTGTACCATTGTCACCTCTGAATGATGTTACGTTAGTTCCCAATCAGCGAAAGTGAGGAAAGACATGCTGTCTTTGGGGGGCGGTGTTAAGTTTGCCTTACATTGTTCCTATTCTCTCTCCTTCCACTTCTTTGTTTATTGTTTTATACTACTTATTTATATTCAGTAAGCAGTTGTATCCTTAACAATTTTCACATTTACATTGTAACGCAAGTTGTACTGTAACATTCGGAAACGTTCCCATATATTTATAATGTTTATTGCACTTATCATTGTATTTGTCATTGTAATCACGGTACTTTAATTACTGTAACGGTTATCCACAGTTGCGGATTTGTTTAAACGCAACAGTTCCCATATTGTTTGCTCTTGGTTCGAGTTTCGATTGTTCATAAACTGTTGTCCAATTTCGACACAGCCATCGGCTGTCTTTGTACTATCGAAGCCTTTACTATTTCATTCTTGAACGACGCGTTAAACGCCTAGACACCTCACAAGTTGAGGTTTGTAATTAAACTTTGTGTTTATATAATAATAGAACCGCTTTTGTAGACAAATCGTTGTTTTGGAACTTCGATTTTGCGCGTATCTCAATCGGGTCATTTGGACGCTTCGATAGACTTAACACTACTAAAATAACAAGGTCCTGATTGGCTGTTAACATACTGTTACTATGGGATCTCAAGGTCTTTTAGCTACTATAAAACCCCTGTTTTTCTGTACATAATGGAACCTTGTAGTAAAGTGATTCTCTGATACTCATGTCTTCTCTCTGGTCTTTCAAGTCGCTGAGTAGTGCTAGCCTGGGGTTATCCGAATAAAGCGTTCAACTTACAAGTCATAACAGGAAGATCCAAGCAACCAATGTATAAGAATTGTTTTTACAAGTGTTTGAAATTTTCCATCTTTAATATTCACTTATCCCTGTTACTTCTCGTGGAGGAACATAGGCTGCCCACCAGCATTCTCCATCCAACTCTGTCCTGAAAAATTCTTTCCAGCTCCTATTAATCTTTTTCATACCTGCTTTTGATTCCCGATGCAATGTGTTCTTGATCTTCCTCTTTTCAGGTTCCTTCAGAATTCCAAGTTAGCGCTTGCCTCGTGATGCAGTTTGATGATTTATTAAATGTATGTCCAACCCACCTCCAGCATCTTTTCCTCATTTCCTCTTCAGATGGGAACTGATTTGTTCTCTCTCACAGTGGGTTGTTTCTGATGGTATTCGGTCAGCCGACATTCAGTATCATGCGTAGACAATTGTTTCGAAATACTTATACGTTTTTGATTATGGCTGTAGTAATTCTCGAAGTTTCAGCTGTGTACAGTAGAACTGTTTTGACGTTCGTATTGAAGATTCTGACTTTGGTGTTGGCCTACAGACAGTTGTTTCGAGTTCTATATGTTCTTCAACTGTAGGAATGCTGCTTGTGCTTGACCAATCCTTTCCGTCTACACTCCTGATTTTCCTTGTTCATCGATGATGCTGACCACGTACGTGAACCTTTCCACATCTTCCAGAGCTTCTGCATGTTGTATTTAAGGACCTTGATGTTCCAATGGGTAAGTTGAGGCCTACTGATGCGGCTGCTACACTGGATATCTTCACCTGCATTTGTTGGTCCTTATGGGATAGAACGGCAAGGTCATCTGTGAAGTCCAAATCATCTAATTGATTTCGAGATGTCCACTGTATTCCTTGCTTCCCTTTACCTGTCGAGGTCTTCATAATCCAGTCAACTATAAGAAGAAGGGGAAAGGAGACAGTAAGCAGCCTCGTCTGACTCGGATCCTCACTAGGATTGTCTGTGAGCTATCGTCCATAAACGACTTCGCAGTGTAGTCTGTCGTATGAATTCCGTATGATGTTGACGTTTTTCTCAGCTAACCACATCATAGTAACGAAGAATGTCTCATGAGGTTCTCCTGACCACACTGTCAAATGCCTTCTCGTAGTCAATGAAGTTGACGTATAGTCACGAGTTCCATTCAGTTGATTGTTCAACAGTGTCACGATTTGGTCTGTGCACGACTGGTCCCTAGGGAATCCGAGCTATTTGTCGCGACGTTGGACTTCTACTGTGTCTTTCATCCCGTTCAGCAACAAGCTGCTGCAAACGTTTCCTAGTACAGATAGTAGTGTGAGGTCTGTGTAGTTCGCACACTTGCTCAGATCTTTTTTCTTCTGTATCTTGATGAGCTATCATTCTTTCCAGTCTGTCAGTGGCACTTGTCGTTCCTCCCAAATCTTCCTGAATAGAAAGTGTAGCATACTTGCAGTTACTCCAATGTGTGACGTCAGTGCTTCGGCTCGTATGTTGTCGGGTCCGATTGCTTTCCCACTGTTGAATTGTTTGATGGCCATCCTGATTTCTTCGATTTTTGATGGATTGAAAACTGGGAGAAGGTCTGTGTGTGCTGCCTGGATGTCCGGTGGATTCAATGGAGCTGGTCTATTCAAGAGTTCCTCAAAGTGTTCCTTCCACCCATCTGTTCCTATGTTCTTGAATTTCAGTAATTGCCTTGCCTTTTTTGTCCTTGACTGGTCCCTCTGGTTTACCATATTTCCTTACTAGTTTCTTGGTCGTGTCGTATAACTGTTTCATATTTCCTTCTCTTGCAGCCTTTTCCACTGTCGTTGCTAGCTCTACCAAGTATTTCTGCTTGTCGACTCTAATACACTAACTCCCATTATTGAAAATCATCTGACAGTTGGTTGAATTTAGTCCCGTGAACCTCATCATCTTTGTTTCAGACGATGAGAATTCAGCATTTAGACTCAGTGGTTTAAGGGAATACAACCTCATTTAATGCATTCACCCATGCTGAATATTTTTTCCATCACTTTTATTTATGTTCTTGCAGATATGTATATCCGTTGTTCGGAAGTGGAGCTCCAGTTATGACACTTCCACCAATTGCCATAGCCAGACATCAAGAGGTTATTTTACCACATGGATTTTGTGCTTTCGAGTTTGCTGCATCACCTGAAGAAGTAAGATTTGTTTAAATGAAAAAAATCAATGTATTTTGATTGACCAAGCTGGTTTGCATTATACGTGACCATCTCCGTAAGGTTTCCACCAAGTATTTTACATGACATCTTTTCAGAGTATATTTTATTGTCGGTTTTTCGAACTACTGTACTTTATTCAATCCTATGGTAAATTCTCTAGAATAAAATGAGAAGGTAAAGAAAACAGAGTAATTTTTGAACTTTATTTACCCTTTGAATCCATATACAAAACGGAATCTGAGGTTTCTATTTAGTAATGTAAATCATGCAGCACATTTCACATTTTGAGGGACTTATCAGTTGTATGTGGTTGTTGCATAGTAGACTGAATTAGTTGTTGTTTGCCAGGAGAGATGATCATTTAGTTAGACAGTCAATTATGATCCCGACGATGTTTAGTCAATAGCTGGATGAAACACATATGAGATGGTTTTAGGTAATAAGTCTGAAACCGACTTCGATATTTCTTGTGCTAAGTAGATGGAATTGCATAAATCTGTTAAGCTAAATTGTTGTTACGATGACTTATTGGTAGCATAATAATTATTTAAAGCAAGTTTTTCAGTAACCATGGAAGATATCAATTCTCCTATCTTGTTACACTAGAAGGTCTCAATCCCAGTCTACGGTTGCTTTGAGTCTTTCAAAAGAAACTATTGTCAGAAACCATCTGCGTTAGATTAAGATATTGCTTATTTGTGACAGACCAGTTGCTGAAACACTTCGTAATTCGGGACTACGAATGAATTCATTTAAACTTAATCAGTTCGTAAAACTAACTCGCTTAAGAATTACCTCCTTAAACAGCTCGGTGTTATGTATGTCAATATTAGATATAGAGTGTAAGACAAATCTCACTAATCCACATAGTATTACCAGGGCAGGTACTAGGAATGGTAAGCTTTTACACCATTTAACCAAAATTTCATAATCTGTAGAATAGAGCTCAATTGATTTGTATATTCGGTAATGATGAGAAAATTATTAGCCGTTATATAAAAAACCACCAGTATATAGTAAAATTTACAAAGCGATTTATATAAAACGAAAGTAATCCATACCTTTTAATGAGATCATGACAAACCTCATTGGCAGCAGATTATTTTCCGACTAATTTTACTCGAGCAGTTCATCATCACCATAGTCAGTCGTTGTCAAGGAAGAACACAATATTGACCCTAACATGAGAGTGCTTTTTATGTACAGATGTAAGTTGATGAAATAATTAAGATGACTTGTCAGGAAACGTGTATGAATAATGTCATGCCTAAGATGAAATGCCAAACAGCATGGAAGAAAGACAACATACTTTCAAGTATTTTAACCTTCTAAATTTAGTAAGGTTGGGACCAAATGTTAAACACTGATTCTAACAATCTTTTTAATTTGGAGTATTTATTTGACAACACAAACTTATAAAGTGACTAATTTCTCTGAATGCTAGTAGTCTTCTGTCAATTAAATCCAGTTACTTCACATTGCAGTTCATATTTATATGTGATCGGAAAGTTGTAAACAGTAATCACATGATCTTATTGGGATTATGATGACTTCAGGATAATCTTGGACACTTACGTTTTCAATGATTAGAACGGAAATTAAGTCAATGTATTTACTTTTCTAATTGATACAACTAACGTAGCAGCTCCTATACTGTTACGCACCTACAAGATTTATTCTGAGTTATAGATAGACAAATTAATCTAATCCTCCGGTATCATTATGTACACATATATTTGCCATTGTCAATTATACATTGGTTACCTCGGTTGTTTTTATTAGTGTATAAGTGTGTATGTATGTCTATCACTTATTTCGTTCCTCTGTTTGTCTGTCTAAAAAGATGGAGTCATATTTGGTAAAATTGAGTTGGTTATATTCGTTATGTTTATCATCGATGACTGAGGTCAAATGTATAAGTAGGAACTAGAATACAAGTGTTCCTGAATATATATTTCATTAATTACATTTACTGAGGTGTACAGTAGTAATAAACGATCAAAATGTTATTGGATTGAATGGACACAACTGGCCTGGAATAATGTTAATATTGTAATAACACCAGAAGTAAACCTCTTTGTAAATAAATTGAATATATATTTGTTACGTCTAGCCGATTGAACGCTAAATTCGCTTCCCTAGGCTAGTTCCGTACCCCCGAGCTAGAACTACTCCGTGACTTGAAGACCAGAGAAAAGGCACAAAGTGTGTGGGAAGCACCTCACTACAGGGTTCATTTACGTACAGAAAATATAGGGATTTTATAGTAATTTAAGAGTCCTTGAGTTTTACCGAAAATTCTAGGATACTGCTAAACAGAGTAGCAGTGTATATATCAGCCAATCAGGATCTCCATATGTGACTTTTCCATTTTCGTTATTTTAGTAACATAACTTCACATAACTTCTAATTAATCGCTGATTGGTTGAAATGCTCCTTGATGACTCCTGAGCTTCTTATGTCGCATGCGAGAAAAATGCAGGGTCATCCCAACAATATTGATACTGGCACTTAAAGTCGCCAGGAATTATATTATAATAGAAATAACATTAGCAATAGAATAATCAACAATTAACTGTATTGTAGTAAAATAAATCTAGAGCTGGACTAGACTGATATAATCTGCATTGTATTGAAGTGAATACGAACTGTCTAGAGGGCCAATTAGTCAGCGTGTCTTAAGGATTTATGTACCAATATAGTGCTGAAATATGATTAACAAATAGATGGATGAGTAACCAAAAAAGGATATTTGGAAGATTTTTAGCGGCCTGTTGATCTGATTCCAGTTTAAAAGAACGAATATATATGCTCTGAATATAAACCTTCCATTTAATTCCATATATTACATCTAGGCTAACCCCGTGTGTACGACAACGATAATAAGAAGCCAATACGGATGGAGTTAGATGAATTTATTCCAGACACTCGTTCACCCAAACAGACTTAAAAAATGAGAAGCGGGAAAATGAAAAGCAGAAGACAAGTGTTCCAACTCCATTTTGTAAGGGGTGATTCAACTATAACCAAAAATACATAAGCAAGACACGCGGTGGATTGGGTAAGCGACACACACACATATGCTCATACAAAAACAACCAAGGTTAATAAGCGAGTAATTGGCAAGGTCAAAATGTGATTCAAGAAGAGCAAATAACTTGATCTGTTCAGAAGCTAGAGTAACCCGTATGGGCTTGACATGGTACCCAACACTACAGATTCACGTATAAAGTATTTGAATTATTCACATAATTGGGCACAAATTGATCAAGAGAATTGAATTCATTCATTCAACAGTCAATAAGCTCATTCAGATATCGTATTCCAAAATGAATATACATTTATATTCACTTAATATGTCTATTATTAAATACCATAGTTGGCTATTTGTATTGCTTGTAATTTCTCTTCATCTCTCATCATCGCCTGCGTTATCGAATGTCTTAAATATACGTTATTCAAATAATTTCATTTTCGACTTGATATTATCTACGTTGTTATTATGGAGATATATAAAGTCAAATAGGATATAGTTGAAAGCGTGAGTCAATTGAAGCTAGACCACGAAGGAAAACCTGAAAGAACTTGACGGCCGTTTCGTCCTATTGTGGGACTCCTCAGCAGTGCGTATCCATGACCTCGCCTTGCGAGATCCCAGGTTTTCGTTGGTGATCTAGCTTCGATTGACTCACGCTTTCAACTATGAAAATACTAAATCTCCACAAAACCCCTTCTGAAATAGGATATATATTTTATTAACGTTATCCAACTGTTATGAAGTCAAATATTAACGTATGACTACATCAAGTTGTTAATCTATTTTTTTTTGGAAAAAAAAGGAGATTTTCTTTTCTATTTACAAACCTATTGAAATAAACTGTTTTTATTTTTTAATGCTACAATCTTAGTTGAAAACTCGTCTTAATGACAATCCATTGAAAGTGGAATTTTTCGATCGATCACAAGGTACTTTAGCAACAGATTCCTTTATTGGATATGCCCTTATACCATTAGTATCAGTCTTTGAATCACCAATTGTAAAAGGTTAGAGTTTAATTTAACGTTTTTTTAACTATATTTTTGATATTGTCGCTGTCATCGTTAATCATTATATTACATATTGAATATAAAAGATCATAAGAATTGTTGTGTAATGTTAGCATAATAATAATTTGCATAGTTGAAAGCATGAGACAGCCGTCCAGTGCTTCCAGGTTTTCCTTGGTGGTCTAGCTTCAATTGACTCATGCTTTCAATTATGCAAATACTAAATCTCCACAAAAACCCCTTCTGATTATAATAATAATTAATATTATTCAAGCATCCTAAACTCCATCAAAATTATCCATCTGAGCTACAGACCTTTTCCACCATCCAAAAAACTTTAACTACAATTTTCTATTGATTAATGTGATGATGATTTTCATATGGAAATTATATCTAAGTGGAAAGGGTAATTTTAATAATTCTATCACTTTTAAATGTTAGGGATTTTTGTTTTCAACTTGCTTAAAACATATCAATGGTTTTTTTATAGTGAATATTACTCTAAATGACTGGTAAACGGTTAGTTTCTTAAGTTTTATCTTCTTAATGAAATACCTTTTCTAAACTAACATTATGTTGTTAAATAGAAGGGTTAGCAAACTAAATTTTGTCTTTTTAGATTACTGTATTGAAATTAGCTTAATGTATTAATCATTTTAAACAGTTGGACGGTGATTAGCAGTGGAATCCTGTTTGGAATTTGTCAGTCGGGTGTGCCTGCACCCAATAGTTGATGTTAACTCCGGAACTGGGAATCAATACACGTTATTTCAAGCGACATTGACTTATCCACTTGGCTACTGATTTGGGACAACCTTTGACTTATGCCATAGGGTTAATATAATTTCATATATTGATTGTCCATGAATCAGAATCCGCCCTATCGCATAAGCAAGTGCTTATCTGAACTTACGAGCTAAGTGGATAACGCGGTGGAGTCCGAAATGCCATGTACTGGGTTCGATTCCTGGAGTGAATATCAATACTGGGATGCGGATACATCGAGTCCCGAATAAGACGGAACGCTCATCCTAGATTCCACAACTAGCCACCAGCTATCTGTCCTAAGATGATTTTGACATAATGACAATTAAGAGGCTATCCTCACATAATGTGAATGAGCCAGAAGAGGTTGATCTAACTTAGTCTTAATCATAAATGGGAAGTGTTAGATCGGCTTACAATAAACTCTATCAGAGCCTCCAGAGAGGCTCATAAAGAGACCAACCAATCAGCGATTAGTTAGAAGCTATGCTACTAAAATAACAAGGTCCTGATTGGCTGTTAACATACTGTTACTATGGGATCTCAAGGTCTTTTAGCTACTATAAAACCCCTGTTTTTCTGTACATAATGGAACCTTGTAGTAAAGTGATTCTCTGATACTCATGTCTTCTCTCTGGTCTTTCAAGTCGCTGAGTAGTGCTAGCCTGGGGTTATCCGAATAGCTAGGATCCGAATAAAGCGTTCAACTTACAAGTCATAACAGGAAGATCCAAGCAACCAATGTATAAGAATTGTTTTTACAAGTGTTTGAAATTTTCCATCTTTAATATTCACTTATCCCTGTTACTTCTCGTGGAGGAACATAGGCTGCCCACCAGCATTCTCCATCCAACTCTGTCCTGAAAAATTCTTTCCAGCTCCTATTAATCTTTTTCATACCTGCTTTTGATTCCCGATGCAATGTGTTCTTGATCTTCCTCTTTTCAGGTTCCTTCAGAATTCCAAGTTAGCGCTTGCCTCGTGATGCAGTTTGATGATTTATTAAATGTATGTCCAACCCACCTCCAGCATCTTTTCCTCATTTCCTCTTCAGATGGGAACTGATTTGTTCTCTCTCACAGTGGGTTGTTTCTGATGGTATTCGGTCAGCCGACATTCAGTATCATGCGTAGACAATTGTTTCGAAATACTTATACGTTTTTGATTATGGCTGTAGTAATTCTCGAAGTTTCAGCTGTGTACAGTAGAACTGTTTTGACGTTCGTATTGAAGATTCTGACTTTGGTGTTGGCCTACAGACAGTTGTTTCGAGTTCTATATGTTCTTCAACTGTAGGAATGCTGCTTGTGCTTGACCAATCCTTTCCGTCTACACTCCTGATTTTCCTTGTTCATCGATGATGCTGACCACGTACGTGAACCTTTCCACATCTTCCAGAGCTTCTGCATGTTGTATTTAAGGACCTTGATGTTCCAATGGGTAAGTTGAGGCCTACTGATGCGGCTGCTACACTGGATATCTTCACCTGCATTTGTTGGTCCTTATGGGATAGAACGGCAAGGTCATCTGTGAAGTCCAAATCATCTAATTGATTTCGAGATGTCCACTGTATTCCTTGCTTCCCTTTACCTGTCGAGGTCTTCATAATCCAGTCAACTATAAGAAGAAGGGGAAAGGAGACAGTAAGCAGCCTCGTCTGACTCGGATCCTCACTAGGATTGTCTGTGAGCTATCGTCCATAAACGACTTCGCAGTGTAGTCTGTCGTATGAATTCCGTATGATGTTGACGTTTTTCTCAGCTAACCACATCATAGTAACGAAGAATGTCTCATGAGGTTCTCCTGACCACACTGTCAAATGCCTTCTCGTAGTCAATGAAGTTGACGTATAGTCACGAGTTCCATTCAGTTGATTGTTCAACAGTGTCACGATTTGGTCTGTGCACGACTGGTCCCTAGGGAATCCGAGCTATTTGTCGCGACGTTGGACTTCTACTGTGTCTTTCATCCCGTTCAGCAACAAGCTGCTGCAAACGTTTCCTAGTACAGATAGTAGTGTGAGGTCTGTGTAGTTCGCACACTTGCTCAGATCTTTTTTCTTCTGTATCTTGATGAGCTGTCATTCTTTCCAGTCTGTCAGTGGCATTTGTCGTTCCTCCCAAATCTTCCTGAATAGAAAGTGTAGCATACTTGCAGTTACTCCAATGTGTGACGTCAGTGCTTCGGCTCGTATGTTGTCGGGTCCGATTGCTTTCCCACTGTTGAATTGTTTGATGGCCATCCTGATTTCTTCGATTTTTGATGGATTGAAAACTGGGAGAAGGTCTGTGTGTGCTGCCTGGATGTCCGGTGGATTCAATGGAGCTGGTCTATTCAAGAGTTCCTCAAAGTGTTCCTTCCACCCATCTGTTCCTATGTTCTTGAATTTCAGTAATTGCCTTGCCTTTTTTGTCCTTGACTGGTCCCTCTGGTTTACCATATTTCCTTACTAGTTTCTTGGTCGTGTCGTATAACTGTTTCATATTTCCTTCTCTTGCAGCCTTTTCCACTGTCGTTGCTAGCTCTACCAAGTATTTCTGCTTGTCGACTCTAATACACTAACTCCCATTATTGAAAATCATCTGACAGTTGGTTGAATTTAGTCCCGTGAACCTCATCATCTTTGTTTCAGACGATGAGAATTCAGCATTTAAACTCAGTGGTTTAAGGGAATACAACCTCATTTAATGCATTCACCCATGCTGAATATTTTTTCCATCACTTTTATTTATGTTCTTGCAGATATGTATATCCATATTTCCTTACTAGTTTCTTGGTCGTATCATACATTTGTTTCATATTTCCTTCTCTTGCAGCCTTTTCTACTGTCGTTGCTAGCTCTACCATGCATTTCTAATTGTCGTCTATAATGCTTCACTCAACTTGCTCGTTTGATTTTGTGTATTCAGCTTGTGCCTTGATGTTCTCAGTTCTTGTTCAACTGTTGTTAATTGCTGTCTTCTTTTTTTGAATCTTGTGCAGGGTTTCCATAGAGATGCATTCCTTATGATGCTGCTTGTTGCGGCACAGCACCTCTAGGCAAGTTGAAGTTCTTGCTTCTTTAATACCTCTCCAGTTGTCCTCCATAGTAATTTGTTCTTCCTTGAGTAGATCTTGAATGGCCTGTAACCTGTTGTTGAGAGTTATGTTGAATTCGTTGAGTTTGTCAGTATGTGGAATGAAAGAGCCATGAGATCGCCGTCCTATGAGTGCTATTAGGGCTTCTTTGAACAACATCCGAACAACTTTCTGAGTGTGAGGAGAATTTTCTTCCCTATGGTCAGAGTACAGTAACATCTCTTTTGAATTTAATCTTTGCTGTTCATCTTAGCTCCAATGGGCTCAGTTTATTCCGAGGATGATGAAGTTGCATCTCCTCATTTCTGCTGTCATTTGACTTGTCGTCCAGGTTTTCCACATTGTCCGGAAATTCCATGTACCTGTATCAATTGTTGCTGTGGTTGTTAGAAGGGGCATCGGCCTTGTGACTTCCGAAGAATCTCGGATTTCATCATTAGGCGTCATAATTCTTCTAGATGAATATGTATCAACTCGGAGGACAGAGTTTAAATACCTTAAATTGTGTTTTGTGGTTTACGTTGTTTTAGCAAGTTTTTTTCATACGGGATTGGGTTTCTGACCTGATACCCAACCTTCCCTCTTTGTATAGACATGGGACCGGTAGTAACCCTATAAGAGCTTTTGTTGATATTTAGGACTGCAATTATCCAGTCTCGGCTGCCATATTTGCCTTCTTATCTGATTGCTTCAATACATTTTTATGTTTCATATGTGACAACCCAGATTAGTCCTAAAAATTGTCAAACACGTCAGTCCTTCAAAGGTTATTGATCACATATTTCGTTTGTTAATCACAACTCTCTCTGTGATTGAGATATATAGGACAGAACGCTTGTCATACATTCCACTACTGGCTATATACCATATACATTAAGAATTCTAGCCCGACAATAGTAGAATAAACTCGAATAGTGAAGACAACAAAATAATGTCGAGACCCAAAATGATGAAGGAGGTCGACATTGAATATATTCAGGTCGCCGCAACCATTTATTTTATTTATTTACTTTACTTTCACAATTTTCTGGCGGTTCCTAACATTGTGACAAACCCCAGTCCAAATACTAAAATATTCTAGGACCGACGCTATGATTTTTCCTTTAGTCACCGCTAGTCTTTTTATATAGGCTTCAAACACAACTTCACAGTAGAGTATTTGGATGTTCGGCATAGGTCTTACGTTAATTTTTTGTTTGAGTAAGCATACTAGCATCAGATTCGACATATTATTTCCACCTTAAAATATAATCTACTCGAGTTCTATTACAATTTAAGTTATCATAACATCTTATGTGTTATATTATTAACAAGATGTACAGTTTCAATATTAAATTGAACAGTTTTCATTGTTTTTGGTTTATTCCAGCCACAAAAGAATCGTCTACTTTAGTCAGACGTATAAATGATAATGTTGACATGTTAGCTGAACAAAGCAATATAAATGAATTAAAAGCTATTGGACAACTTGTTTATTCTCTACAGTTAGAAGATTTCGGTACACATACTGTAGATAGTAATACATCTACATTAGATATGACAAATGGATTAGTTCATCAAATAAATGATGAAATCAAGGTAAGTGATGATAACTTTCTTTTCGATTTGTAACTCAATAGTAGAGTAATTTATCAGTTTCGAAAGTTTGATAAATTTCGAGATTGTTTCCATGGCTTCAGTAGTGAGATTGACTAAGAGAATATCAAAGATATAAAGATGCAGGACAGTTGTTTTGACGTAATTGTGACAATTAATAGGCTGTAATTGAAGTTCGGAAGTTCGAATAAACAAACCTCCCTGTTGAACATAACTTACGTCTTCGTGTGTACTACAACCGAAGAATCTACAGTCCATTCTTGCCTGTAAGATTCTGCAACCTCTAGACAAAAATGATTGGTGATAAGTTCAGTAATTTTGGTAACGAATAATATCGTATTTCCTAATTCTTTATGTTTATCGAATCCTATCAATTTCAAGTCATATAGCAACTAACTAAAGTGATAAGCATTAGTTGTCGTGTACTACGATTGTTTGGAACCCTTATTGTCTGACTTCGATTATTGTAAACGTAATTTAATCTTTTCAGATATATAGAACTCTAATCTCGTTATCTAATTGAAGTTATAGAAAACGTATATCAGCAATAAATGTAAGGAAATAAATACACTGAATAGGAAATTAAATTTACTTATATTATCTCTTGCTTTCATATTATTCAAACATGTGTGGTGAGATATATTCTACTTACAATTCGATAGTCTGAACCTTCAGATATACGATCAACTCGTGAATATCAAGTGGCTGTTGAGCTAGAACTGTGGCGTGCAGCAGAAGAAGCCAAATTCACTGCTCAATTAAAGAAACGAGAACAGACACTGATGGCTACACTTGCTGAAGAATGGCATAAAAGAGATAGTCAACGCGAAATTATATATCGTAAAAAGGTTGGTTTCTAATCGTTTATATTGATTCATACCATTTACTGGAGAGAATCACGATCCTATATACTTAAGTTCTTTTAATAGTAGCTAATCGATAAGTGCTTCTAGTTTATAACCTTGCAAGACTGCTACTGAATGTTATAAACTCCACCTATGATTGGATTACAAACTTAGACATACCTCCCAATGCCCAATTATAGTGGTATTTCTTGACAGGCTGATCTAGTGAGCTGATACAAAAGTAGCCAAATGAGGTCACTTGACAGCAATCAGTAATGACCTAAGGGACAGATGCATACGATTGGCCAAGAAATGGGTTCATCTTCTGAGGAGTAGGATTGTAGCACGTGTTTTAGTATCAGATCTCGGACGCCCACATAATAAAAGAGGGCATCATTAAACTTCGAAGATGGGGAAGATTTGTGAAATTTTTTGTAATTAAAACGTGCACTGAATAAGTACATGAACTTCGTGAATACTAACAATATTGATGGAGCCAGACTTAATTGTGAAGTTCTATTTGGATTAGGATAATTAGATGGTGGTCGTCAAGGTCACTCACTGTCACCACTGTTATAAAAATTTATTATAGGCATACTCTTAGGAATAATATTTTTTAAATCTAAATTTTGAGGGTTTGATGTTTTACTAGGTCATTCACCTATCGACGCGGAATATGCAGATGATTTAATTATGCCTAATGAAGACAAGTAGTTTTTTCATTTCTTTCTTTTTGGTAAAAGAAACTTGTTGAAGTACCTCGTATTGAGAATTCTATATAGTACCAAAATATAATACTGGATAAAGCCATTGATAATAATAATTATTATAAGACAAGCTTGTCTGGTATTCTTCTAAATTCGAAATGATTGATCTGCATCAATCCCTAGTGTTATAATGTTTCGTTAATCACGCTCAACAATCCGACCGTTCGATAAAGGATTATAAATAGATCAAAACGAGAATTTACCACAAGATACAAAGAGCAGAAAATTAAATTGAAATATTAATTTTTACTTGTATCAGACGCGTTTGTCCGAATTCTGTGACTACAAGTCACCGGATAGAAATATTGTCTAGTCTGGATATAGGGAGAGGAATAATTGAGTACAGTGATCCATTCACTTATTTTGGAAGTCTTGTTAACCTTAGCGAGTTGGTGTCTGATGAGACTTCAACATTAGTGTTGAAAGTTCCCTTAGCATACGCGTTCGCTAAACAACAAACGTGACAGAGGTGGCAAAACTGAGACTTGGTACAAGCCAATGTCATTTTGTTAGATGCAAACTACTTGATCGTAGTCTGTGCGGCAGTTGTTGGTTAGTGTGGCTCAGAAGGGATCGCAGATGCACTCATATATTTAATTTTCCCTTAAGCATTATTTCGTGCTTTCAATTCTTCTTCTCTTTAGAACTTTAATATTAATATCTAATAATTTTCACTATCATTGATAATACTGTTATTTTGACCCATTACTTATTCATAGTCTTTTACCTAGGACCTAGGCTAAGACACAATCGATCATAACTGATTATGAGAAATGAATACAACACTTACGATACGTTCCTATTACCTACAACCCTTTATGATGATTGATGCTAATTAATACTAATTATTAGATTCTTTTATTGAGAACTACCTCTAACTAATATCAGCGTCAAGAATAAGATAGTCCATCATGACTGACCTAATGACCTTTTGGTACAACAAAGAACATTAAGTGACTACTGAATTAATGAGTAAGAATATCGTATGAATGGCCTAGATTTATTTCATTCAGTTACGACTGATAGGAACGTTAGAATGTAGCACGACTAAGTCGTTTTCAGTCTACCAAATTAGTCACTTTATATTACTCCGCATGTTTTAGTCCTAAAATCTGACCAAGGGTATTAGGGATACAATTGTCCGACTAAATAAAATACAATCCTACCAATGAGAGTTAATGTAGCTCATCATAAGTTCCTTACAATACAACCTGATTCGTCGCGAATAAATCAAGTAATTCAACACAAAACTTAGAATAAGATTTACCACATGCATAGACCAATGGTTTTCGATGTCTCCTGTTTGTGCACAATGGGCCGGTGAGTATCCGTTGACCACATCCAAAAAACTACCACCTACTCCAAAGATCTACCTAGGCTAACATAGGGATAGGTTGAGAAAACACAAGGCCTAGATATGGCATTGTTTCACATAGTATTATTTTCTGCTGTCATGAGCTCCAGACCATAAACAAAATAACACAGTAGTCTCCCTTGGAGCTAACAATGGTAATATTATTCCTAATTTCCCACTACTGTTAATATTACTACTTAAGACTTTATTTTCCATGTGGTTGATTTCTTTTTGTGGTGACACAGACCGTGACATCTTGAGCCAATGCATATTTGTCTGAGAGCCTATTTTGTTTACAAATGACTGACACAATAGGGACTATTCCTAGGTATAATGCAATATAAACGCTATGTTTCTTGATCAGTACTTTTGCATAAAAAAGATACGAATTTAATTTTCCCTTCATTTCACTCTACATATATTTAGCTTTCTGAATATCAAGCTTTAGAGGAAAAATTGCGCAATACACTCATTGAACTTGCTACTAGAGAGCGTCAGCTAATCGCGGGTGAGGCAGAACTGGTACGCCTGAAACAAGAAAATGCAAGGGAATTGGAAGTTAGACGTAAAGAATTGAATCAACAGTCTCAAGTTCAAATTCGTGATTTAGAGAGTCAGATGAAATTGGAGAGAAAAAACTCTGAACATTGGAAGTCACAAGTAAATCTAATGATATTTTTCCCTGATAAATAGTAGACTTTCTTGACTGTTGGTTTTGAATCCAATTTCCAAATATACTCTATATAATCATAAATATCACACTTTTGTCTCATTTACAGATTGTTGAATGGCGAAGTAAGTATGCTTCTCTAGAGGAAGAAAATAACAGTTTACGAAATGAAATAAACGGTAGATTGAAGAAGTCGATAGATAACAAAGTGTCTGGAGAAACTCCCTCAATAAACAATGAAGTGGCCCGACTGACTGCAGAGTTAGCAGTTGCTCGGGCTACACTATCCGAAACAGAATGCCGTTTAGTCGAAGTAGAACGTGGCCGAGCAAGGTATCGTCAGTTATGGATGAAATCTCTGCATGAACTAGCCAAAGTGAAACAAGAAGCAGATGAAGCTACTCGAATTTCACTGGCACAAAAAGAGGCAGAACTTGAACAACTTAAGTCTTACTATTTGAATGTCGACGACAAGCGACCGAGTGGTCAGGATTTAAAAGAAGCGACAGACGGTAACTTGGAACGGTAAGTGAATAATTGAATTTTTTACTAATCAAGGTGGCTTACATAGTGTTATGTGAGAAATGTTGTTTATTTTCAGAAGTATTTTAATATGATTTATAGACTAACGGAAAATAAGGTTTAAATGTATCACTTTAAACAGATGAACTGATACTGAATTGAAGAACTTAAGGCAATTTCAGCGAGGAGAATTTTTCCTTCGATTATAGCAATTACTAAAACTCTACAATCGAAATGAGTGATTTAACGAATATAAGGATTAAAGATAAAGTGACACATTCAAAAAGATTCTCGTCACTAGATTGGTTATCAAAGCACTATAAATAACCGTTGAGCTATTTATTTATTTAAACACATATATATTGGTACAAAAGGGCACCAGGTACATATGCGCCACACAAAATAATGAAAGTAGGAAGAGAAGGGATGAAAAGATAAGGCGGACTAAAATGTACAACCAGAAGAGCTCTCTCAGTTAAGAAAGTTAGAACCATTCTTTATGTAGAAAGTAAAAGAACGTTACAGCAGGATCGCCACTGGCTTCTATTCTGAGCCATATCTGATAACGTCTCTAGCCACTGTGTTGCACCATCTCTCGAACCCCAGCCAGGGAGTCGTGAAGGACCAACAGAAGCTAGCCCTTTGCAGCTCTCTTTCATGCCACGACACCATGTCATACACTGACCTCCTCTCCGCTTTCTCCAACCAGTCCCAGAGTCGGCAAATAATGCACGACGTGGAAGTCTCTGGGACGACATTCGTAAAACATGTCCAAGCCACCGAAGACGGTGTTTCGAGATGGTGACACCAATTGAATTATCGTCTCTGCGCCCAAACACACGATGCCGAACCTCTGCATTACTAACATGGTGTTGCCACTGAATGTCAGCAATCCTTCGGAGACAACGATGATCGAACACAGAGAGACGTCTAACATCCTCAACTCGAAGAGGCCAGGTTTCACAAGCATAGAGCAAAACTGCTCTCACCGACGCGTTGTAGATCCGACCTTTTACAGCCAGACTAACATCACGAAGGCGCCAAAGATGGCCCAGATTGGCATAAGCCGCTCTGGCTTTCATTATACGTGCATCAATCTCATCACTCACGCCACCACCAGCACTTATATAGCCACCTAGATACACGAACTTCTCAACTACTTCAATCTCCTCTCCATCCAGGGTGAGTACAGGATGAGAATCCTGCCAGTCTTGTAGGAGGGTGCAAAGCACATGCCGTACCTGCGGACACTGATTGCTAAATGATTAAGTGCGAATTGCATGCCTTGGGCATTATCGCACAGTAAGACAATATCATCCGCATACTCGAGGTCGAGAAGTCGTTCTCCAGGCAGCATATCCACACCGCCATTACTTACATCCATCAGAGCTGTTTCTAGGATGTCGTCGATGGCAAAGTTGAAGAGGAATGGTGAGATCGGGCAACCCTGCCTAACCCCACTGCTCGAATGGAACAAGGGAGAAAGGTGGTTGTATGCCCTCACTCTGCCTGAGGTGTTCGTATACAGGGCCCTTAAGATGTTAATGAGCTTCTAAGGCACACCCTTCTTCAACAGACAATCCCAGAGGACAGTCCTGTCCAACGAATCGAAGGCAGCCCTGATATCAAGAAACACTACGATTGTTGGCCTGCGATAAGTATGACGGTGTTCTAACATTTGGCGGAGGGTGAAGATGTGATCAATGCATCCTCGACCAGAACGAAAACCAGCCTGCTTCACGCGAGTCAATCGTTCTCGGGTTTTAAACAACCTACGAAGAATGACAGAAGACAATAGTTTGGACGCAATCGGAAGTAGACTTATCCTCCGATAGTTATTACAGGAACCAGGTGAACCCTTATTAAAGATAGGGACGACTATCGACTCATTCCATGATGTTGGAACACTTTCTTGCTCTCAAACCTTTCCAAACAACACCTTCAGTTCCTTAGCCAGAAAGTCATCACCATCTTTAAAAAGAGCCGGAGGTAAGTCATCTGGGTCCGGTGATTTGTAGCGCTTCAAGAGTTGGAGTTCCTTGCGTACTTCCGCCTCGTTTGGTGGATCAGTCGTCACCGGCCATGGGGGGGCAGGACAAACTGGTTGATGTTGCCGGAGCAGCAGGCCAGTTGAACTGCCCTTCGAAAAATTCCGCCCATCGTCCAAGACGTCGAGAGATGTTAGTGACTGGCATCCCGTCATCCTCGTAGATTGTTTCACTCACACCAGACTTCTTGCTGCCAGTGGCTCGGATGAGTTGGAAGAGCTTCCGGCAGTTACCAGATGCGGCTGCTTCTTCCATCTCATTAGCACGCTCCGACCACCAGGCTTCCCGGTCCTTACGTAAGCTTTGCCCGATTTCATTACATAACAGCCTTCGTTTGTGGTCAAACTCACGGTCACCCGGAGTAGACCGACGGGCTTCCATCAATTGTAAGGAGCCAGAAGAAACCCAGTGCTTGTAAGCGGGACGTTTCGCGAAGCCGCAAGCGGCTTTACTCGCCATTTTCATGGCGTCGTGAAGAAGCAACCAATGCTCATCTATACTTTTCAGTGGGGTGGTAGCTAGCCTAGAGGCTAGCTCTGGTCGATACATACTTGCGACAAAAGTTGCAGCCAGTTTACTAATATCAATCCGTTGGTGGTGGTCAATCCTTCGGCCACTGAAAAGTAAGGTGAGATTGGCGCAGACCAGTGCATGATCAGACTCCAGATAGGTACTCCAAAAGGAGCGGCAGTCTTGTACACAACCACGCCAGCGGTAGCTGATCGCGATGTGATCAATCTGAGTCCAGGTTTGAGATGCAGATGGAGGACGCCAGGTGGCACACCGGCGGTGACTGTGCCGGAAGTTAGTGCTGGCCAGAAACAGGTTGTGGTCTGTGCACAGTTGCAGCAAATGGTCCCCGTTATCTGTACGGCAACCAACAAGTCCCCATCGGCCACCTAAACGACTCTCTTCTGTGCCTAGAAGCCCGACCTGTGCATTCAAGTCTCCGGCTAGTACTACAATATCTGTCGAACGCGCTTTCTGGAGAACTGTTAACTGACGGTAAAACTCATCCTTGATTGCATCCGGGCTGCAATCTGTCGGGGCATATGTGGAGATGACGGAAAGACACCGATTTTTATGTTGGTTTGTTCTCTGAGCTGGAGAGAACAAACCAACATAAAAATCACCCACCTGAGCTACAAATCTTCTCCACCATCTCAAAGACACCGATTCTCACGCCGATTTCTTCTCACTTTGATGGAACTTTCTAATCTAACAGCACATAACCGACTGTTTATGGGGATCCAATCGACTAGTGCTGCCTCAGCCCTAGCGCTTAGTGCGACACCAACGCCAGCAAGACCAGACGAAGATGCCACAGGGTCCCCGGATAAGTGCACGTGGAACAAGCTTTTCGAGGCGACAGATGGAGAGCGGATTTGTAGTTTTTATTTATTTATTTAAACACATATATATTGGCACAAAAGGGCACCAGGTACATATGCGCCACACTATTGTGTGTGTGGGCTGTGATACTGCCCGGGTGCCCAAACCGAAGCAGGTGGTTTTCTTAGGGGGCCACACCCCGAGCCTTTGACCAAAAGGTCCGATCCACAAGGCAGTGGAGCATCGTGAGGAGATGCAGTCCCATGGTAGCCGGTGACCAATGACAGGTTCTTTCGCCATTCGTTCCATCAGGATACTGGAGCCCATGTGCACCATTGGTTTGGAGTCAGGGTTTTCCGACTCCCCTAGGTGGACCCTCCGTGTCCACCAACCCGGTTAAAGCACCGGACATTCGCTTTTCTTCCTCTCACTTTCGTAAACAACACCCCCGCCACGAGAAGGCAGTGAGTAGGACTTCCCTGACAGAGGCTATATATTCGCTGGCCATGTGAGAGCATTTCGAGAGGGAGAGTAGACTCTCCCCACTCTCGGCCGTACCAGGGCATTTGGGGGCAAATAATATAGCCGAACAGGAAATCCTCACCGCTGAAATTATCTTGAACTGTTTCTCAATGAGTTAGTAGATACCCAGTTCTATCTATTGCACTCTTATTAATTATTCTCTTGAAAATATCATAACTTATTCGCGACTAAACCCACTAAGGTTATTTAGACATTTTCTTGGCGTTGACGCTTCGGTTTTGTTGGTTATGAGGCTTTTGTACTAAGGATAACATTTTCGGTTTACGTTTTTTCTACTTCTCAAATCATAAATGTACGTATATTTTCTATGCTGAATATCCTTTCCGGTAATTTTCAGAGTTTGGTAACATCTAAATGTAACAATTAGTGAACTCAAGAGCCAGTAGACCACAGAGTCAGAATAACCACAATAACTTTAATGTGTTGTTTCCAGAGGACTGGAAGTTCGTACACATACACTCACATTGTTGGCAGTTAGGAAGTTGTATTAGCCAGTAGTCGCTTACAGTGGAACAGCGTGACAACCATCAAACACAGGACGATTGGATCTAAATCATTATGGATTTCTAATGTATGATGTAAAACAGAAGGGTTATTAATATAAACGTGGAGAAAAATAAGAACTGTAGAATATATTATTTTTACAATTATTTATTCGTATAAATGCGTGAGAATTAGGAAGTAATGAAAGATTACATTGGTGTACAAATGCACTCACTCAATATTAACCAAACAATTTCTTAACAGGAGTTATTAATTTCGTTGTAATCGCTTGCTTTTATGGTGTTTCGTACGGATTCGGATCATTAATACACAATAAGTGGATGCAAATATTCGTAGAATAGATTGACAGGACACAGATGAATAATAATTCGACGGATATAATGACTTGAAAATTTAGAGCAATATCCTGAGGTAGGACAAAACACACTGAATGTATTGATATTTGAGCTTGGGTGGGGTCGGCCTATTATCGATCGTGGTTTACAATACATCCACAAGGTGGAGATTAAATGGAAACAGACCCACACAACAATGCTAACATCTCAGTACTTCTCTTAGAGTGTAATAGTTATATGCAACACTAAGATTTATTACTAAGCTCTAGGAGTTTACTGGTTGATTTTTCAGAGATGCACAAATCCTGTTTAATTTTTGTTCTAGGTGATTGTTTTTTTGAAAAAATATGAACCATCTCTATTGCTCTTCCCACCGCTGTTTTTCTTGACCAACACTCAACATTTTATCTTGCTTCTATATGTGAATCAACTTAACAAATTATAAACATTTTTTAATACAATTGAAGTTCTCAAAATTTACTTCAAAATGTGATTTCATTACAATATATATACATACTATTTTGATTTTTAGATCCAAAAAGCAGGATGAAATGACATCTCAAATAAATGATTCTGATGCAAAGCCTGTAATGGACGAGAAAGTTGAAGCACAGATTACTCGGCTCATTGAAGAACGTGATGGCCTACTAAATACTGGTGTTTACGAGAACAGCGATTCCTTAATTGTTGACCTCGACCGGCAAATCAGATACTTTCTGGAGAAAGCATAATTCGATCTGTTTTCTTTTTAATAAATACAAAACTACTTATATTCAAATAAATTTTGTAAAGAAATCCAAGCATTTTCATATCCAATGAAGTTTTATTAGGTTACTAAAGGATGGACTAAGTACGTTTGTATATATGGATCATAGATCTAGTTTGCACCTTACACACTGATATGACGAATATTATGTTCGACATACCAAACACTACCAGCAGTTTCCTCCTTTCAATAAAGGATGTGCATATGATAAACAAATGTCATGATATCTCAAATCATATAAATTTTCGCAATGTGTAGTTAAAGATCCTCCCGTGAAAGGTAATATTCCTCATGAGCATTAGGTAAGATTAGTAGCCAGTGACTACACGGGCTTATGTCGAAAAATGATCTGGTCATCTCTAAACTCCTTCAAACATACTCCTAACCCAGCAAGAAACACCTCAAAGCTCTTGGTGATAAAGCATGGATTGCGTACGTCTTTACTGCCCTAGCACTTTGAAGGACAGAAAAGAATCCCGAGGAAGTTGAATTGTCATCAAGCAGAACTGTGATCAGCGTACTCTTAGTTGGCTGTTTTTTGTGTGAAATAGACTGTTGAATAGCTATGCGAATAAAGAGTTACCTGGTTCACCCAACTCATGACAAAACCAAGCGAAAAAAAAAGGATGACCGTCCAGGGTTATAGCTTTCCATAAGCTTCCATATAACTCGGTATCCAGGGGAACCTCCAGGAGGTTGTTGTAATTGCTCACTAAGCTTTTCAGCTGAAGTTGGCCGGCGATAGGATAAAATATTCAGACCAGACGAGTTCGATAGCTTTTCCAATCTTTCTTTACACATCTTTAAATTAAGCCCAGGATTTTTATGGAATCTGAGCTCTTAGAAATTAGACTACTTGAACCCGTACTTCGTGACACAATAACATTTCACCTCATTGTGCGATAGAAACCGCATGGTTTAAACACCTAGCTTTACTGCAATCTCAAAATTTCTTACAGGTTTAAACCGAGTTCGTTATTTATCAGTACAGGGTTGTGGTTATTGAGCTTTACTAGAATCGTGAAGTAAAAACTATCATGTGCTTAATAGTGACTAGCTTAGAGAGACAATTCTCGGAGTTCTAGTGTGAAGCTGCGACTAGCGACGTCCAACGGTGTATGTTGTGAGATAGTTACCCGCCGAAGACAATGAAAGATGGTCGCATAATACTGCGGACTGACTGAAGTTAGGCATTAACACGATTAGATGCCGGATCAACGGTCTAGAGGCTGAGCGTTCATGCGTGAGACCGGACGTCTTGGGTTGGGTTCCCGTAGGTGGAGTCATGGATGTGCACTGCTGAGGACCCACCTACTAGGGCGAAATGGCCGCCCAGTTATTCCAGGTTCCCAATGATGTTTTATGATTTCAACAAATTCGTCAGCTTATTTACCAGTAAGCACTTCGTTGTCATGATTTATGAGACACGGATAACCACTAATTTGAAGGTACCCGTGTGTTCTCACTACTCATGTGCGAGTGCTTTAATGTCCAGGTAAACTTATTTCTTTCATTGTTGAGAAAAGCGATAAGTCATTCCCATCCTTTAATAACTATTTCTGAGTTTAGCTTACAATGATGGGAACATCACAATTAAAAGAAAAAGTTAGGACAACAATATAGAGGTGGTTACTTAAAACAAAAGGTCTCCGATATACTTCTCGCAGGTAAACGAAATCGAGTCTGAGAAACATACACCAATGATGTCCACTCATTCGACGAGCAACGGTTTGGATACTCTGGGGTCAAATACATCAACGAGCTGAAAAGTTCTCAATATTTATTAGTCGCCAGAGCTTTGTAAATTACAAGCTAAAATGCGAAACGAACAAACGGAAGTGTGTTGACGTTAGTCGACAGTGTCAATGATTACAAATTATAATGTGACTGAGCTGTATAATTCATCCACGGCGTAGGAAGCTTCATTATTCTGCTTAACAATACAACGCAACATGACAAGTGAGCTGATACTGCATAGAAACAAACTCTGCAACTAGCTCTCAAAGTAAAAAATCATAACGACGGTAGCTCACAATGTAAATAACTGTATTCAGTATGAAGCAATGTAGTAACAACAATCCGTACGTTTAGAACCTACTAATTTATTTGATCTACCAATGATCTGCATACTCCTGTCATCTAAAAACGCTTCTGGACTTAGTTATCTTAGTACTTTATGTGATATTACCTATCCAATCGCATGAATGTCTAAAGTAACGTCAGGACAACATAACAGGTAACACAAGAACTCAATGGCTATTAGCGTGTTCACTGAACGCACCATGATTTTGGAGCACAAATTGATTTTTAATACTCAGACATGATTGGAAATATAGAATAACGACAAGAAACAGTGCGTGGTCTAAATGCGAGGACACAACGTGACTTATTCAATGCAACTATTATTACCTTTGACGAGTGACGCACCTTTGTCGAACTACCGACAGAATTGAGAACTAAACGCGAAATCGTAAGAAAACTTCCGAAAAAGTGCCTTATCGGAAACAAATCCCATCCCGTTGCAAAGGTCAAGGTTTACTTGCACATTTCAACACCAACTAATCAAACAAGATGCATCTTGGATGATGTCTGTTTTTATGAAATTATAACATCTACGCAACGAGACATGACGAATGTGCAAATAGGCCAAATGTCGGGGTTGACAAAGCGTCAAGATAGACAAGATGAACAATTACCTTAATGTAGTGAATATGGCTTTCATACAATTGAAAACAATATAAAAAACTGTCTCATTTGGATAGTAATGGTAGGAGGAAGTAACTACGGTGGATACCAACTTTCCGGAAGGATACGATAATGCTACAGTAAAGGATACTTGCAAACAAAAATGATTAACTAATTACTTTTCAAGCGAGGAATCGATGAAGGAAAAAGACTATCAAAATATTGGGGCAAAAATGGAATTAGAGACTGAAACGTAGAGCGGACGTAATTCCGAAATTTGCTAACATATCAGCACACAGCTAAAGCTGTGTACAACCAAACTAAGAAACAAAGCACGCACTCGGTCAGCTTGTTTTAATTTACGCGTGTTTTCGATCTCAGATGATATTTTAGAAGTCTCAAGGAAACTTAGTTACGAATTTTAGCTACAAAACTGTGAATGATCATAAATTTTCGATGTGTGATGAAAACACAGACAACTGTCGATAGTTTCAAAAGTCGTTATATTACTTTTTAAATCACAATGAACTACATACTTCAATTATGCTACGTCATTTGTTTATTCAGCGAGAAAGCCTCTCTAGAAAATATTATGAACGTAATTGTGATACCTCATGAAAAGCAACTTCCTCATTCGTCATCCTTTTCCTTCGAAACTTCGGGTTAGTTAGGGAGGGTTCTACTGCCAGCTCTGGTGGCACTGATGATTTTACAACAAAAGTTGAGTCGACGCGAGTTTGTGGATCTCCAGAGTTTCTCGAACTTGAAGAAAACATATGTTAGTCGTATAAATTACATGTTTATGGAGTTTTTCAGCTGACTGCGAAACTTTATTAGTGGCACATGTTTTTTAACCTAAAAGACAGTCATAGAAATTAAACTAATCTTACCAATGCAGCTAGATTAGACATTTTGAAGTGACCGCGTGTTTTCTAGAAGGCCTGTGATTTCGTACTTGCTGTGAATTAGCTTTACCGCTTTGTATTTATTATCTCAAAAACATACTTGATCTACTTCAACGCGATTTTTTTGAATAAGGTTTGGAATTTTCTCTATTTCTGTTTTGGTGCTGAACTACACCCCCAAAGTCTTAAGGCTAACTGTACAATATAATGCAGCCCTACGGACTGTGATATTCAGTCTTCAGTAATAAGGATAGTAGATTAATGGACCTTTGTTGATCCTAACAGTTTGCCTTTCAATTAATTACCAGTTGCTCCATCAAAATGCTCACTGATGAGATTGATACCACTTGTTTAGGTAAACCATTCCACTCATTGGTCACTCGATGAGAAAAACGGAACCTCACTTTAAGTTTATAAGACCACAGTTTGTGAAATTTCTGGCGATGACGGAGATTATTAGCGCAAGAAGTAGCGAAAAGGTAAGACATATTAACACCTAAATCCTAATTGTTATATGTCAATTAGTGAAGGTTAGTTACCTACAAACTGAAGAATGCAATCGAAACTCTCATATATAAAACAGGATCGAGACAACTTCAATCAAACTACAGAAATGTCAGCTTGACCAGTGTCTAAGTTAAAATACTGGACAGAATAATCAAAAAGACATAATGATATTTGTAGAATTCATCAACTTCTTAAACAGAAGTGTAGCTGTAAATAAGTCCCCAAAATCAATAGCTTTGTAAGTGTTCGACATTGGATGCTGACCATATTAGTTTTCGTGGACTCGTTTAGCTGAAGGCGCTCGGTCATGCATCCGTATCAGATCACGTTACAGAACGGCGTGAGAAGCATCTGCTACGATCATTAGCCAGATTAGATCAGTCAATTCTGGACATATTGATAACTCATTAAATATATCTTCCAACCTCTTCCATTCTGACTTCTGTTTAAGTGGGTGGGCAAGATTCTATTATAGGTGTTACTCGTTAATTGTTGTCATACTACAATACTGGTGGTATCTTCAGTGGTGAGCCCGACGTGATCTGGTACACCAAACGATAAACTGTGAGTCTGTTCCCTTTTTGGAACTTCACAAATCATTGTTTTGCTTTATTTGACTTTTATATATTGTGATACTTTTTTGGAGTTTTTCGGATGTATTTTAATTATTTATTTTTCGTTCATTATGATACTTGATTTGTCACTATGACGGAACAGACACCCAAAGTATTTAAGTTAAAGACTATCCCCCAACCCTCGATTCAGCTAATGCCGTTTTGGCCGGACTATATCGAAGCCTGGTTCTGCTGCGCAGAATCCGACCTTAACGGGCACGACATTACGGACTCACGCACACAGTTCCTCGAGG